CTTCCTTGATTTTAATAAATTAGAATCCCTTTAAGAGTGCATCTCATTTAGGCATATTTTGCAATATCTTTTTTTTACTTATTCTTTCTTTCTCTCATCCATGATTTGTTACTTATCTTTTAAGTAATTTACTTGCAAATCAAGTTCTAATTAGATCACATTATTAAAGGTGTTGAGATATTCTTGGTAGTTGACCTAAAAATATTAGGACTCCTTTAATGGTGGGATTATCACAAATTTCCTTTGTGGAGTTTTTATTTTCCTATTGATTGGACCACATGTTCCTTAACTTTAGAATAGTACAAAAATAATTGGTGATTGAATTTATTTGTGTGAAAATCAATCTCATCTTTTTTAACATGGTTTTATTTTTTGGTGGAGCAAAAAGCATATAAAAGAAGACCTTTGTCTTCTTCATCTTTCATAACTTTTGAACATAAGTTTTGCATGCTTAAACTGCGTTTTTATTTGAGATAAATCATTAAGTGTTTTATGTTTACTTCGTGATTATTCAAACACTTTTATCATTCATATTGCATTCATTGGTGAGCCATACAGTTAAGGGCACCAAGACCGTTGTGGCAGTTTTTCTCCAGTGAGCTTGAATCAATCATGACAAGTATCGGGTTCAGCATAAGGAGAGTTGGAAGGTCATCCCATGACAAAAGTTGAGTTACGAAGAAGTCAGTAAACATTATCTAAAATGTGTCTAGGATAAGTGTGTGAGTACTTCTTATAATCATCGTTCTATAGTGTGTTTTGGACTGAGGAGTCCTGTAGATTTTCCCCATAGGTGAGGTTTCATCACGTAAAATAACTCTATGGGTGTTCCTTTATTTTATGTTCTACATGTTTCAAGATTGATAAGCCATATCAATCATGCTACCGAAGTTTATATTTATTTATTAATTATAATTTTCAATTGGCCTATTCACCCCCATTAGTCATCCTATAGGTAATTTCAGAACTTGATAATCAAACAGCTACAAAAGTTGCCGAACAATAAAAATTCACATATATCTATACTTTTTTTTAAAAAAAAATTAGCGGCATATATCTATACTCTTATTTAAGAGAATTCTCATTGTTTGTCACCTAAAAATAAAATTGTCAAAAAAAGCTATTCTTTCACTTTAATAGTTCACATATAATGGATGACTGAGATCCCAACCTTAGCGAAAATTGCTCACCCAACCTTTAGCGTCGTTTCTTCTCTTTGAGGGGGAGGCCCCTCCCCATTCCCTCTCAACATTGTTTTGTTTCTCTTTCGAGGTTCCTCTCGAAGCATATGGATACTAACGCAATGTGACAATTGGATGATTGAGCTTTAGCCTAAAACACATAACTCTAGAATCCACCATGAAGAAATGAGAGAACCGCTAGTTTTTTTGATAATATGGACTAATATAACATAACCCTAACCACGGGTTTAAAGTTGTTTAAATACCCTAGAAACCCTAGGAATAAACAAGGATTTAGAATAGGAAATATAACAAAGTTTTCAAAAACTGGATTTTTGGCTACTAAACAATCTCGGATGCCCTAAAAAGCCCATACATTATGGCAAAGTAATGGGTTCTACTTGCGTTGGCATTCTCTTTGAATCGACGACGGGTCATGTGCCTAAATCTGAGCTCGGGGCCCAAACTTGCAATTTTTCGGGTTTGCCCTTGCGCGCACGTCTTTCTAACTCCTCTTTGATTGCTTCCGCCATATGTTCTACCCCCCATTTTGCTGGGCCCAAAGCTTTCTCGGTGTGTAGAGCTGGTGACATGCTCGAGCTTTTCTTGCTCATTTTTAGGGCTTCATGCCTCTATTCATGTGTGCTCCCCCAAATCTCCACCATTCCAATCCTCTCAGCGTTGTCCTTGGCTATCCTCCGATTGGTCCTTGCCTTCCTTTAGGTGTATTGGTGATTTCGAATCTGGTGGAGATTGAGCTTCTTGGGTTGATATCGTTCATCACTCAGACCTTTTATCTCCCCTCTCGATTTGGCTTCATCTCTTGGCTACAACAGCTAAACCGAATACTTCTCGCGTACTTCATGAAATTTGTGTAGAGCTACGACAGCGCTAAGGCTCGGGTGCTCAGACCGCCTCTTTCATGTCTCATGGTTCTGTTTCCCTTGCCTTGGGGTTGTTCTGATAGTAGGCTTATGGTGGTAGATCTGTTGTGGTTTAGTTTTTTTGTTGTGCTTGATGTTGTTTTGCTTACTGGGTTGTTTTGTTGTTTTTAATCCAGTTAGTTCTGTCATTTTTATTTTTGTTTATATGATGATATCATTATCTTGGATAGTTTGTTTGTTCATGTTTATCTGATATTGTAGATTTGTTAGTTTCTTTGTGTTTCCTTACTGGGTTACTTTATTTGTTGTTTCTGTGCCTTTTCCGTTTTGGGTGAGGTCTTGGAATGAATTTCATCTTTCGACCAAAAAAAAAAAAAAAAAGTCCTTAATCAATTTTTAACTTAAAATCCTTATTGCAGAAACTCTCATTGTATACAATCTCACTTTTTGTTTGGCCCACGTTTACTCTAACAATCCACTCATTTCACTTATCCTTTTCTAGCACATGTCAAAAACAACTAGCCTTACTCACTTATTTTTTAGAAGTTAGATTTTGATCCCATAATTACTTCGTCTAGCTCCCAAATGTTTTTATCTTACCACACTTATAAAATTCTCTTTTTTTTTTCCAAACAAAAGAGAGATTTATTAAAGTCGAATAGAAAGCTAAGAGAGCGACATCACAAAGGTACCATAAGCTCGGAGGTGACAGTATCGGCCCCATTCTCAAATTGAACAAATGGCATTGGTGGCAGCTCAGAGTGTCCCGCCTCAACCTCTACAACAATGCAGGCCCTTGTCTGATCTCCAAGCCATATATATATACAAGACCCCACAGTTCAGCCCCATCAACCACCACTTGGCCTGTCCCCAAGTTGGCATCGCACCCCACCCCCAAGAAGTTGGCATCTGGGAGTTTTTAATGAACAACGGTCGTTCATTTGATTACAAATGCTTTTTTTTATCAACAATTGTCGTTGATGAGAATGCAGATACTTTTTTTTTTTATCAACAATTGCCGTTCATGAGATTGCAGAGATGTGAATACGGCACTCTCTGCTGGAGCCACTTCTGGCATTTACCAACGGCCTTAATGTTTCAAAATTTTCAGATAAAACCAATCTCAGAGGAACTGAGAAATGTTATGATGAGGTGATTCAGAGAAATCCAAATTCTTGTAGATCTCCAGCCTGTAAAGAGGTGGTGTTGTATGGTCTCAGAGGGACAACTGCACAGTGGGGCAAAGAAACACAAGAAATCATGTGTGCCTTTCCGCTCTATCTCAGTTTGGCGGAGATCAATCTTCCTGGAGAAATCATTAGCTGAAATTTTTTAGTGGCATCGCGTCATACCTTTAGAAATCTTTCTTTCTTCGGTATATTTTAAATATTTATTTCATTACGATTAGTAATAATTTGCATGAACAAAGCTTCTTTTGTAAAAATTACGGAATAGATGCATAATGACGTTTTTGAAGTGTCAATAACAGTTGCATAACATAAAAAGATTAAAGGAATGGTTTTAGGGGTTTTGATAGAGGAGTCGTCTTATGGTGAGGGTACAATATACGGACCTTCATATTAGTTACTGTTGACGCCAAAAAGTGGTTCTCTGACTTAGAGGGTCAACTTAGTAATTTTATACATTCGGTATCCTCAATGCCTCGGTAGGGGGCGTAATCTACAATATGAGCAAACGCTCGGTAAGACCCAAGGCACCGGTGTGGTACCGGCCGAAGGCTCTCCGATGCTTAAGTAAGTTCGGGATTAAAAAGTTCAACTGACAGATCAATAAGCTTGCATGTCGTAAGTTCTAATTACCTCTGTTTTGGGGTAGTTAGCCTCTTTTATAGGCCTTGGGAGGTGTGCACTTTGTTGATAATTTCGATGTGGGACTGTGGACGTCGCCTGGGAGCATGCCACGTGTCTCAGAAGAGTGTGTTGCCCTAATGGAGCGATCGGTAGGTAGGGTGCCGAGGGCGTCCCTGACCAAGCTCGATTTCCTCCACGTGTCTCGTTCTCATTGGCTGTTCATTTTGGGTATAAATAGTTACAGTATTTATTTGAATAATAACTTCATTTAAATTTAATGAAATGATCATGTTAGTTAATATAAAAGTCCACATTAAAAGTCCATAAATGTCACTCTCATTATACAATTTCGGTTTGATAGAGAGTCACTTGTCACGCTGAAGGACAAAGCCCAAACTTAGCCTTTTTGCCAACCAAACTCCAAGCCCAATACATTTTATCTCCCCATCACCCCCACAAAGCTAGAAAGAACAAGAAAGAAAGAAACATCAAAACATCTCTCTCACCGCTCAATAACATTGTATACCGTGAAAGTTTGACCCGTGTATTTTATACTAAGACAGTGAAAGAAAATCCAAAAGGAAGTTGCAGGCATGCTTGAAGTTGATCCCAAGGAGTGACTAGATTTCCTTGCATACGAATATGAATACACTATTTCATTGTCAAATATCTTTGGCTCAACTAAGACTTGTGCTTTTCAGCTTTTGCCATAGGGAACTGTGCTTGCAATACTCAGAAGAACAGCTTCCTTTCATTATTGCACAACATGATACGCTAAAATACACCCTACCATAGTCAAAATTAAATAATTGATGCATTATAAACTTCACATGCATCAATATTCACGAATGCGAGTCGGCTCGCCTGCGTGAGCATTTCACTTTAGCAAAAAGATTCTAAAAGATTACACAACTTAGATTTAGAAGATCGAAAAATGATTCACAAGAGAAGCATCTTTTATCTTGGTTAATTAGCGTATGTATTTTGAGTAACTCAATGATTCTATGCATTTTTCATAAAATAGGACCGTTGGATGAAGACAGTTTTAGTGGTTGTTTTATAATTAGTAGTATAATATCACAAGGGACCAAACAAACATTAAAACAAACAGAACAAAATTTATATAAAAAAATGCCGCTTTCCAGTTTCCATTTTCATTTGATCCCAAAATGTAAAAATTAACATCCCATGGAAGCACCAAATTACACCACATAACATTAACAAGTACACAACCATCATTACCACGTAATCAGATCAAAACAGCAGCAAATTAAGTATAACAAACTAATCAAAATTCAAAAAGTTTGATTAATTAAACTATAATTAAGATGGTGACTGGACCAAATCCTTGTTGCTGCTGTTGTACCTGCAGAGCACCTTGCACTTGACCACACTCCCGTACACATAGAACCCAGGCGCCACCATGATCCTAACGACAGACGGCACCAGCTTCCTGGCCTTGTCTCCGCCCATGTCCTCCATGTAAACCGGGTCGAACCCGACCCCTTTCTCGACCCGGTAGATGGGCAAGCTCGGGTGAATCGAGTTAGCCAAAAGGTGCACCAACCAGACACTCTTCGAAGCCCCAAAGAAAGCCTGCAACAATGGCTCAGGCCAAGCCCTGTTCCAGCCCAACATAGCCACAATCTCACTCATTTTCCTGTCGCAAAACCCACTAAACTCCTCGCTGAAATGCTTCGTCCCCTTGATCAAAACCTCATCCCAAGTCAAGCCCTTTAGCACATTAAACGACGTGTAGTTCGCCTCGCACCTCTCGATTGGGTTCAGGATTTGGCTGGACGAGTTCTTCTGAAACCCAGCTGACTCAAACTCGTCGAAGAAGGCTCTGTTCAGCAGAGCCTCTAGGTAAAAAAGCAAGCTTCTTGGGTTTTTCGAACCCGAGAGCTTCACGTCGTAAGGTTGAAGAAGACCGGAGATTTTCTCATACACTTTGCCGAAACCCATGTGCCGGAGCTGCATAGTAAGCGACCTGCTCAAACCCCTGATAGAATTCCGGGCCTCCGAGACCGAAACCAAGAAATTCTCCACCACCACTTTCTCGACGACGTCGTTTGAGCTGAATCCACCAAAACTACGCCGTCGATTGATTTGGGACTTGCCCAATTGGTACGGCGACGAGTTGTTGCTGCCGCTACATTCGTCAAGCCCAGATTTCAAATTGTGGCAGTAGATTTCGAGCTTGTTGAGCTTCTTCTCGAGCTCGGCCATGGAGAATTTGAGCCTCGAGGCTTCCAATTGAGCCTCGTCTCTCTTCCTCGTAGCGTGAACCAGCTTGTGCGAGAGCTCCGCCACCGCTATCTTCCACTGCTCCTCTCTCGCCGTCGTGTAGCCCTCCATCGGCGTTCTCGGGCTCTTCCGAGTAAACGACGACAAAATCGACTTGAGAATGCCGTTTGGGCTCGGCATGTACGACGAGGCGTTTCTGTTGTGAATCCCATTGTTGTCCAGAGGAACGACGGAGATCTTCTCCCTGGCGTTTGGACGACACTTGTTGCAGGAAACCGACCCGTCGTCCGCTTCTTCCGTGGTGACTGAATCTGCAGAGTCGGAGCGCTTTGTGTTTTGGCGTCTGCCGTTTTTGTGATGAGGAGGAGGCGTTGGGTGGTGGTGCTTTGGAGTGTTAGTATTCACTCCTCTGTCCGTACAATCCTCGTCTTCCTGTCCTTCTTTATCACATTCTTGAATCTGCAACCAACAAACCAAAAAAAAACCAAACCATTAATAAAATAACTAACTAATGGGTATTTTTAGTTAGGCATGAAAGATGGAAATTTTGTTTTCTTTTCTATCATTTTCTCGAGAAACAAACGCATTAACACTTACAGGGGTGAAATGGGTTGGTGGAGGAGGAGGAGGGGACTTGGAGGACGGAGGAGGAGCCATGTTTGATTTTGGTGTGTCGTTTTGTTGTGGCATTTTTGGGTTGGTTCAGTTGAGTGGATGTCATGGCCATATATCTATATACGTGGGTTTTTTATTTTATTTTATTTTAATTTTTCTCATTATTATCTTCCTGAGGTTTGGTTTGTGCTTGCTTTGCTCGTGCTCTGTTTTTGCTTGCGCTCTGTGTTTCGGTCTGTTTTTGTTTTCTTTCATTTTCTTATGTTTGAATTTTTGTCGTGTAGTAATCATGGTTATGGATCACCGTGGAGGCAAACTGGTTTCCACGCGCTGTCAAACGAAGCTTAAGCTAGTTGCTTGCATCCAAAAAGATAAGATAATAATTAGTTTGATTTGATGGGTGAGTGCTTATGTGCAGGGTAACTTGCATAGAGGACCATAACAAACGACTTAGGCTGGTTTTTGTCAAACACTAATAACTTGATTTTGACCCACTTCACGCGTTTAAAGTAAATTAGGTAAAAACTCAATATCTTTTAAGCTCTTTTAGGTTTCCATATCAGAAGTAGCATACTCTCAACACACCGCATCATGTGTACCGTGAGCAATTCTTAGAGCATTTTCACTCATTAGCCGTGAAAAAATGGCAATGGGAGGTAAGGGCAGTTACTATTTATATGAATAGTATTTGTCCTAACAATTTTTTTTGTTGGTTTTCCACCCATTGCTATGACAACCACTATTCACATGAGATATGAAGAGAAGAATTTGTATAGAGTTTTGATGTGGAAAGTGAAGAATATAGCTAGGTATTTATAATATAAAAAATTCTGATTTCTTTTTTTCTTTTTTATTTCTTCAATTCTTTTGCTATTTAAATTGTTGTTGACGTCAGCATTAGGTCAGCTTGCCCGGGTTGGTGGAGCTCAGCTCTTGCCCTGGCGAGACTTGACCATTTAGAAAACGGATTGGGGGCCTCTTACCTAGGCTGGAGCCTCCCGGTGGAATTGCTCTTATGGGATGATTGGGGATAATTGGGTTTGCCAAGTGAATAACATGGTTGTGATCCGATGGTAGAATGTGAGTATCAAACTCAAATATGAACGGACAAATTACATTTCCACTCACCTGTATATCTCTTCATCTCACTCAAGACTCACTTTCATGTATTGTATTTGACTTGCAAGACCACAGTTCAATTAAAACCTCAACTAAACAAGCGTCCTCTAATTTAACAAGTACAAGGAGGAAAAAACAGAGTAGCAGGAGCTGAAATTTTTGATTAGTGTTCACTCACATTCACATTGAAATACTACATATATATGCATTAATTTTTGTTGGTCCACCTGATAAGTTGTGGAAAATGTAATTTGAATGCTGCAATGCCATTAAGAGCTTGGTCGTTTGTGCATCAAAATCAGGGCTACTAATTCTAAAGCCTCCTCCTACATATATAAATGCATGAGGCCATTAGTTGCATTGCGTATATTACCATACCTGGAAAGGAAGCCATTAATTAGAGGGTTGTTGCATTATCAATCTTTGACGGCATGTTATGCGATGTAGATTGGAATTATTCTTTCAGTGTTTATTTTAATTTCTGACTTTTCATTGCACTTACTAGTGTGTGTTCTACATTAAAATTCGTAATTCAATACTGGTGCAATCAATATGTGGATTGATTAGGGAAGTAGTTGATGATCATATAATCGTTCTTCCTCTTCTCTAATTTTTTGACTTTCTCGATTTACGACTTTTTCATTGCAAATAATTAAACATGAAATTAGGTTTTCGAATGGAAAAGCTTTTGTTTATGTACATAGGCTTCTAGTACAAACTGTTGCGAATTTAGATTTTCCAATAGTAAGATGCATGAGAAGTAGGTAACTATGGTATTCACAAACGGGGAAGATGAAAGTGCGAAACCATCTGGCGGGTCAAGATCAGAGAGCTCAGAAATATGGGAATTTGGGAAAATTATTTTGTTTTCTTATTACTTGAAGAGAAGTTATTGAAGCAGCTAAAAGGAGGACTCAATCAGAGTCGTGTATTTAAGACGACGTCTTTTGGAAGGTGTCAACATTTATTGCTATGTTTAATTCCCTCCTCTCAATTCTCAGAAACCCATCTACCCTCATTTATTGGGGTCTTTTGATTTGATGGAGGTGAGGCAGATGAGATTGGATTTTGGTTTTTTTTTTTTTGGGGTCTGAACGGATGAGATTGGGTGAGCATGTGAAGTTAATAAATGAGACAGTGCGGCTAAGAGAGTCATCGCCAAGTGGAGTGGTCCATGCATACGGAAGGAGGAGGCTCATGCTCTCATTTGTGCCATCGAAGTTAGCCGCTGACTCGTGTAATCTATATGGTCCATCAGCCTATTGCTGTGAAGTACCACGCGCAGGTAAACCCCACTCTCTTTATTTATGCCGATCAAGCGTATTTAACACTTATTTACATGAAGAAGTGTATAGCTCAGTGAAAAAAGATATTGATTTGCAGATTAGTGGTCTCTCAGGTTTGACAATCCCATGACACCGTATTAGTATGTGTGAGAGAAATCTCCCTTCCTTGTAGTTGAATTTAACCCCAATATAAAGGTTTCATTGAAGCTAAGATGCCTTGGAGCCTTAAAAGATTTCACCTTGATCCACTAGTGGACCTATTAAGGCGCAATAAGGTGTAGCTGCACCTCCTTTCCCTGAAAAACCAATTACCATGCTTCAAATTGCACCTCTACTCAAGTTGCTCGTGGTGCACTCCAAGTGTTCGACCATTTGCAATAATAAAAAAGAAGAAGGAAACGGACAAACAGTTATTCTTGGGCTTTCAACAAGGCCTGCTGTATTTTGTGGGTTTGGATTTCTTTCTTTTATTATTTTTTTGGGTTGAGGTTTTCTTTCTTATTTAAACAAAGATTACAAAAGAAATATAATGATTAAAAAAAAAAAATTCAACTTTTTTATATAAAGATTGATATCTAGTGCTGCATACAGTATTGGTAATCAAACTGGTTTTGATTCCTGATTCTTAACAATAGTAAATGCTTTTAATGAGAATCAGTTTTGTTTTCATTTTGATTCCTAACAATTAATAAACAACTTAATTGGAATACTTGACTCTGTTTCTTGAATACTCCAATTTATGTTTATCTCGAAACTTGATTAGTAAACATACCCTAAAAGTAATTGATAGAGACGTAATTTATAAGCCACCATTATGGATGCTCTAAATGAAAAGATCTAAGGATGTTCTGATCCAACAACTCTTACCACAATTCTTTGGACTCTTCTTTTTTGATTCATGTGAAGACCAAATAGATGATGTAGGGATCAACCTATAATCTTAGGTGTGGGAGGAAGCACTTTATTACTAACTAGACCTATAATAAGTCTCATCACAAGGGTGAAAGATACCTTTGTCATTTACTCATTTTGAACAACTTAGACTGAAGTGGGTGTGCATTGTCTAACTTCTAATTTGTCCACACAACTTACATTCATTCTCTTCTTCTAATCTAACTAATGCTTTCTCGTTCCGTATAGCACACATTATCTTTTGCTACGTTTTTACTTAATCAATGAGGGACGAAGAATTCAAATTTGAGACATTTACCAACTTTGGAAAGAAAAGTTATATTCAACTAAAAGAGCTAATTGGTTCTCTTTTACTACTTTAATTGCATCATTTTTGCACATGCATTTGTGTACGTGCACAAGCCATCAATTTATTTATGATAATTCTAATTCAATTGATTAGCACATTAAAATTATACTCAAATTACCCTTTGGAATTCTTAAAATATCCCTCTAACCACTTTTTAAAAAATTTAATTTTTTAATATGGTAACCATGGTCACCTAGTATTGTTGGCCATGACAAAAACTAACACATTAGGCTGTGATAATTACGCATGAACCAAAAACCATTCAAACTGATCAAATTAAATCAATTTGAGCAATTTGTCTAGTGTTTTACTTTAAAAAAACTCGTAATATTGGACTGAAAGAAACCAAATCGCAAGTAATTTGGTTCGATTTGGTTTGATCTATAATCGTCGATGTTATTAATATGATTATTATTTTAAACTATGCATGTTTTTTAGTTATCGCAATTTACAAATTAATTGTCTTGAGTGATAAAAAAATCTAAAACTCACTCAGGTTGGGAAGTGAACATCAATTTCAATGTTGGGCTTGATGGATGATGACGAGAAGTGAACATCAAATTCTTTTTGTTATTTTAAGTAATCTTATTTAAGGACGATATCATAATTAAAAGTGGATGTGTTTGCTAATTATTCATCGTCTAATACACGTTTGCCCTGTCAACCAAGAAACCCATAATTCCTTTTTTTTAATTTTTAATTTTTATAATAATTCTGTCCAAAGAAAAAAAAAAAAAAAACCAAAAGAAAAGGAAAAAAAAAAAACAATAACAAATGTCCCTCCTTCTCAACGTGTTGAATTAGTCTCCTAACCCTTTGAATTCATCGTCAAATTTGAATCAAATTTCGTCAACGTTCCGTCTAAATCCCGATGGGGAAATGGAATTCCAATTCCCCAAACTCATAGGAATTTTTTTTTCTTTCTGATTTCCATGGTTTGATTCGTCTGTAAGGTCATACAAAGACCAGGAGGAGCAGCAGCAGCAATGGCGTGGAACGCGTTCAAGCTCTGTACGGCTCTGCGTGCACTCGGCTACATCATGGTCCTCGTGGTTCTCGCCATAGTCGGGCTCACCTACTACGCCGTCGTTTTGGCCAATTATTTGCCTGCTATCCTTGGCGGAGGCCTCAGTGCCGTCATTGCCTTCCCTCTCTTGATCTTGTTCCATATTCTGGTAATTCCCATTCCCCTAAAGTTTTTATCTTTTTAAATTTTATGTTTAATTCAATTTGATTGATTGTTAAATGCTCAAATTTTTTTATCTCTCTAGAAATTATATGCATACATAAGTGCACATACGCATAGGTGATATGCAGATATTTGTAGTTGTATATTGAGCTAGAAAATAAACAGAGAGTAAAAAATAAAGCTAGTGACTTTAGTTTTCAACTCTCAACAAGCTGGGTACTTGGCATTTATTGGACTTTTTCTTTGCTACTTTGAATTAGGGGGAATGTTATTTCTAAAGGTGAAATTATTAGGATAGAGCTAATCATGAATGTGAGGGTTGTGCTCGTAATTAAGAGGATTGTAGTTTGTACATTTCTCTTATCTTAATAATTTTTTTTGCTGTGGCAATAAAGCTTTCCTTTGGGAAATGGTATCGCTGGGGATTTTGAATTGCTCTGGGAAATCTTATTGATGCATGTGAGTGTTGTAAATTGCTCTGGTGGGAGTAACAATTTAAATGCTGCCCATTTTATTCGGAACAAGCAATTATAATTGGGGCTTTTAGAATTTCTTTTCCTGTTTTGAGATTTTGAATTTCCCATTTTAAACACTTCAAATTAAGAATGGTGACAAATGTAACATTGAAAGTATTGAGTTTGGTTATGTAGTTGGTGATGCTGTTGTGGAGCTACTTTAATGTTGTTCTAACGGATCCTGGGGTTGTTCCACCGAATTGGAGGCCTGCAAACGATGAGGAGGGAGGTGACAGAGCCCCATTGGTGGGATCGGACCAATCTACCCTGGTCAGTGACCCAGCAAATCAAAAAGTACGGTTCTGTCGGAAGTGCAACCACTTTAAACCACCTCGATGTCATCATTGTTCTGTTTGTGAGTACTTTTGAGTCCAAGTTCGCTCTTTTGAATATGTATATCTGGTGGTATACAAAGAATGGAAGGTTCATTGTTTCATTTATGCATTGGTCTTAGGTGGGAGGTGCATATTGAAAATGGACCATCATTGTGTGTGGGTGGTCAACTGTGTTGGGGCATTGAATTACAAGTACTTCCTTCTCTTCTTGGTATGTTAGCGCACTATGTTAGTATTGAAATCTTTTGAGCATACACTTCTGTTGACTGGCGAGATAAGCGCTATCTACTCAAACTAAACTAGAGCTGATTTGATGAATGACTTGCTATGTTTGTTATGTTTTTCCAGTTTTACACATTTCTTGAGACAACTCTTGTCACTTTATCATTATTCAAGTATTTTATGGCATTTTTTACTGAAGAAGAGGTAATTGGAACACTGGGCACTGTTGCAGCCAGTTTTATCACATTTGGTAAGTTTTTAGATGGCCAGTTTGATTTTTCCATTTTTCTTTTGAAAAAGAATCTTGGTATCATCTGTATTTTCAAATATCTGTAATTTCCATTTTCAGTTTTGAACTTCGCATTTGCTTTGAGCGTTTTTGGCTTCATGATCATGCACCTATCACTGGTAGCGTCCAATACCACCACTATTGAGGTGATGGCTTTTGTTATACTTTAAAAACAAAATTACTAATAGCTAGGCCTTACTGTATCTCTCACATGAGATTCTTGATTGCTTCAGGCATATGAGAAGAAAGCCACTCCTAAATGGCAGTATGACCTTGGTCGGAAGAAAAACTTTGAACAGGTTTACTTTTTTTTCTGTCTATTTTGGTTTTCTGTGTGGGCAGGTGTGTGTTAAGTAAATATTATAACTATCGCATTCTCATAGTTTGATTGTTTTGCTAGATTCTTTGCCTTGCCTAAGCTTTTCTTAAGAAAAAAAATTCTTAGAAGGAAAACATTAATAAGAAAAGTAGCGCCATATCCTCATGTTTAAGGTTAGAATGTAAGCTGGTACCTTCAGCTCATTTAACAGATATTACTGATATGCAACTCCATATGCTCCTGCTGTTATTAGTTCCAACCAAACTGAAGTAGTGCTGATTTATTTTTTTCTTTAATTATATATAATATACTTTTGGTAAGTTTGTGATTAAATTGGAAAGTCATATTACAACCAAACTGATCTAGTTGAAGTTCTGATGCAAGATGTAATGCACAGAAGAATACGTTGTTGCTTGTTCTGGTGAATTCACCATTTATTTTGTTAGGTGTTTGGGACGGATAAGTGGTACTGGTTCATCCCTGCATATTCAGAGGAGGATTTAAGACGGATACCAGCTCTTCAGGGTATTGATTATCCAACAAGGCCTGAGTTGAATGCACTCCAGCCGTTATAAGTATTCATGGCGGCAAAGGACAAGTTTGCAGTTCAAGTTTTGCAGCTCATCAATTCTGCATTAACCATGCACAGGCATGAACTCAGGTCAGGCTTTTGCTTGGGAGACATCATAGCTGGAGTTTTGAAGGATCGACTCAATTGGCGAATTTTCCTTGTATGAGAATGCAGAATGTCATTTATAGGTGAAGTCTAACGTTGTCAACGTCAATAGTTCATTTATACTTGCTATAGAAGCTGGGGTTTGCAAAGGTGCATGGATTCGTCGGTCGTTATACGTTTTGTATAGAGATGCAATGTGTTCATATCAGAAGGAATGTAAGCATTTTATCATACAACTTGTTTTGTGACTTATGTCTTCGTTTCCAAGTTTTGTTTGCCTTTGCAGGCTAGTTGATCCTATAAAATTTTGAAGTACCCCTGATTTGGGAAGGTCGTACAGAAAAAGCTCTCGTTTTACATGTGGTCATTGTTTTGTTAAACTTCTGTTTCCTTAACTTTATGTCTAAGATGTTTCAAATTTGGCATTTATTATCAATTAAAAAAGCATTGATCATGCTTAATATTTTCGATACATGTTTTAAGTCTTGTGATTAGAGTACGGCTATATCACATTGTTGAAGTCTAGCAAGTAACAGACAAGCCAGCCAAATTCCAATGTTGAAAAATATCTCAAGTTTGAATCCCCTACACTCTTTGATAAAAGGAAAAAAAAAAACACTAGTACTTCACATTGGTGAATAAAAATTTGGGTAATAAATTTGATGTTAGTAGAAAGAGCACTAATTTACGTGTTTTAATATGAATATCCAATTTGGTTGATATTTCATAGACCTACAGGAATGGGATAACATTTTCTTTCTAAAAGAAGACCTATGATATAATATTAATAAGTAAATACATGTATCATAACAAAAATGAGTTAAAAGCACCAAATAACAATCATAAGGCCATCTCCAATCATGGTTGCCCAGGGTTTTAATTTTGGGAAATACACGGCTTTGCCCTCAACTCTAATGTTTTATTCAATAATGCCCTATTTTTGAAATTCATTCAAAAATATCCTCTATAAAAGCTCCCTATTGGCCCAGTATCATTTTTATCACTTTTTTTGGTCATGTGAAATTGGTCTCTACTACTGCGCTCTCTCTCTCTCTCTCAGTTTTGCTTTTTTCTTATTCTTCTTCTATGCTCTGCTATCTCTGAGATGGCACCCCCAATTGCTTTTTTCTTCTCTTCTCTGATATGCACTATACCCATCTTCCTCATCCACTGTCACGCCCCAGACCCGGGGGTAGGTGGAAACCCCGCGCCCGGTGCGTGAGTAAAATAAAATATAAAAATAAAATAAAATAAAATAAATAAAAAGAAGCCAAAAACTTTTCTTATAAAAATAGATCCCAAAATCTTACAACTTTACAATAAATAAATAAAGCTCTATCACTCTCATCTAATCCATCCTCAACTGGTTTAGTCCTTGTCTTGCCCACTAATTCATCTGAAAATTTAAATAAGGTAAGGGATGAGCAACCACCGCTCAGTGAGTAGATTATGTAATATGCCAGTCAATGAGAGCCCTTAAAATAAATTGGCAAGACAACTCATCTACTTATCTTCATATACTATCACTCAAAGCAAGCTCCAAGAGTTTCATCACCACATTCTCTCTCTCTCTAGTATTTCACTTCATTTCTCTCTTTCTCGTTTTTGTTATTGACAACATAGGGGAGAGGCCTTATTTATACTCTTACAAAATTTGGGCATGAAGTAAGAATAGATGTGTGGATAAGCTTGATGACTAAGGATGAATACAAATGTTGGAAGATAGAACCAAGATATTTATTAACTAACTAATTTCTTACATGAGTTGTCAAAACACACACAAGTTTGAGCTTTAAAACAATGACACATATATTGGTGATAAGGATGAAATATGCATGCTAACCACACGTCCACTCTATAGCTTAAGATGATTAAAACTCATATATATATATATATATATAATTACCATGTCAATCCTTTTGTCCAAGTTAACTTGCTCAAAAAGATAAGAAGAGATTTTTTACCTATTAAATACACAAGAAATATCTAAGGGTACTCATTTAGAGAAAAACAAATAATAAATATATTTTATAGTTATTAAAATGAACATATATATATATATATTTATATTTATTTAAAAATACGGGGTTTCACATCCACACCATTAGCCACCGTAGGCACCACCAACAAGTTTGCAAACCCAATTTGTAATATTTGTTCTTAAAATGGGTGGCTTGGCATTGACTTTAATTTTTTGTTTGAAATAGAAGCATTTATTTGTTTGAAACCCAACAAAAACTTTCCAAGACAGACTTGAAAAAAAAAATTGATACGACAACTATAAAATAGCAATACAGGGCCAATACGATGACAATAATAAGACAATAAAAAAACTTAGAGAAATTTCAGATTTATTGTGTGTATATTGCTTGTTTATTGCAATAAACATGCTTAGCAAGATAACTCTAATACAAGCTCTCTCCCTTCGTGTATATTGCTTGTTTATTGCATGTGTATTGCTTGTTTATTGCATGTGTATTGCTTTTTTATTGCGTGTGTATCGCCTGTTTATTGCGTGTATATCGCATGTTTATTGCAGACCTCACCAAAGAACCCAAAAAGAATCAGCTGCGAGTTGGAAGAGATAACTAAGAGAAGAGGAGCTACGAGTCAGACCTCACCAAAAACCCCAAAATTTGTTGCACAATCCCAAGACAAACTGAGAAATATTTGTTGCACAAACCCAAAATTTTGTAAACAATCTTCAAGCATAACATTCCTCAAAAAGTTATTGTATAATCCCACTAAAATAACATTCTCTACACAAGCTGAAAATATTAATTGTAAATCTAGAGAGTAAAATTTTAAATTAAACCCACAATTATGTTTCAACAAATTTCTGTTCAATCTCACTCAAATTTGACTTGGAGGGACTTGAACTCACATCAAGCACCAAAAATCCAATGAAATTGAAACAAAGAGAAGAAAACCCAAATGTGAAGGAGAAAAGCCGAGCTGGCTACTTGAAACGCCATCTCTAGGCATGGAGGTCGAAAATGGGTTTGCTCTTGAGAAGAATGGGTTTGCTCTCCCCAAGTCGCTTATGTCCTCCCAGTTCTCTTATACTTTCTCCTTCACTTATTAGTCATACAGAATTTGAATATGGGTTTGTGGGAGAAAGGTGGTCATGGAAGAATTGTGAAGAAGAAGGGGGGGGGGCTGGGTTCTCAGCATCTTTTTTCTTCAATGTCTTTTTTTTTCTTCAAAAAAATAATTTTTAAAAATGATTTAACTGAAAATTGGATGAAATGTTGAGAATTTAGACGGTAAGGGGGAAATTGGAGAAAAAAAAAAGTTCATATCCTTAATTTTCTTTATAAAAAAAAAGATAGAGGGTTAATTGAAAGTGTGGTACAAGTTCAGGAGGCAAAACACCAGTTAACCCAAAAAACTATGGCTTCAAGGTTTATTCGTGAGGCATGAGTTTTTGCAGGTGGACCATGTAATTTTGCCTAGACAAATATGTAGTGTTAATTATTTCTTATTCGATTAAAGAAAAAAAATTGAAAATAGAATGCGAGTTAGAAAATTAAGTATAAAGAAAAATAAATAATATAGAAGTGAAGTAAAAATAAATTAATATAGGGTAAAAGTAGAAAAGAAAAGAGAAATAACAAAAAAGAACAAAACTGATTAAAAAGCGAAAAAAAGTGTAAGTGGAGAAAAAAGGAGTGGAAAAATCAGCTCCCTTTCCATTTTAATCCTTTGGACCCCGCTCAAAAAAAAATCAAGCCATGGCCTAGCGACACGTATCATGACGCCAACAGTGATGCACAGACGTCTGATGACTATACTAGAACTTTCGATCAAATTGAACTCTCAATTTCTCTCTCTCTCTCTCTCTCTCTCTCTCTCTCTTTTCCCACTTTGGAGAGTCGGTTAAGCTAAACGCAACACCGCCATTAACTTTGTGGCACCTGGAAAACCCTTTCATCAAAGCATTTCGTGCTTAGGCGATTAGGGTTTTCTCTGGTTCCGATTCAGTTCGCTCCAAATTTCTATTTTCTTTTCCGAGGTACTCCTTTTTTTTACGTTTGATTGCAGAAAAAACGAAAAAAAAGCAAAGGAAGAAAAGATTCTATTTTATGATCATTGAATTGATGTGTAATAATTTGTTGTAGATTGTGATCCTTTTTTTGGGTTTGATTCTTACCTGAATTTAGGGATCTACTTTGCTGTAGTTGCAGGAAAAAGTTTCTAGGATTGGTTTTTATTGGGAAATGTTATTGCAACGTATGATTTTTCGTGTTTTTCTTATTGCGTGGCTATTAGTAACGTAGTTTCGAATAAAAAAACGATGCATGATCTTTTGATTATGCAAATTTTTTTAGCATGCTTGAGAAATTGTCTGCATCAATCAGTGGTGATTTGGTCTTCTATTTGCTGTCTAAACCACTTGCTTCTTGGACTCTTAGTTGTAAATTCGTTATAGTTTAATTCTGAATTTCAAGTTTTATGACTGTAGAGTGTGGAAGGTACTTCTTACCATATATTTGTTAAAGTTTTGGTTTGCCCATTTTTATTTTTCAGGGGTTGTAGTGGTTAGAAGATGCAGGGGGGCAGAGGCGGTCCAGGTGGCAGGAGTCCTTTCTCTGATTTCAATGATCCGTTTGCTGGTTTTGGGGGGTTTGGTGGATTTGGGGGTCAGAGGAGTTTGATTTCTAACCTTTTTGGAGGAAGGGATCCATTTGATGACCCTTTCTTCACTCGCCCATTTGGAGGTATGTCCCCGTTGGGAGGTATGTCCCCATTTGGAGGTATGCCCCCGTTTGGAGTTATGCCCCCATTTGGAGGGATGTTGGAGTCGAGTTTTTTTGGTCCAGGTGGAAGCAATTTTCCAGATATGCAGCCAACTGGGTTAATTGAGCATCAGGCTCCAGAGCCTAAGAGACCAAGGGGCCCAATCATTGAGGAAATAGACTCTGATAATGAAAATGAAGATGCTGGTAATGCAAAAAAAGACAATCCTCGAAAACGCAGTGGACCAAGCAATGAACCTTATGTTGAAGATCCTGATGATGAAGTTGAAGGTAAGATATTTTAAATAGTTGGTTGCTATTGACCTTGGTAATTACTGAATGTTTTTGTTTTGAGTCTAAATAATTAGAGATGCTTTTCCCCCTTTTGTGCAGAGAAGAGCAGCAAGCATTTGCAGCATAGGGACAACTACAACCAGTATAATGCTATGCAATCGCAGCCTCAAGCTCATAGCTTTACATTTCAAAGCTCCACTGTCTCTTATGGTGGTGCTAATGGTTCGTATTATACTTCATCCAAGACAAGAAGGATGGGGAGTGATGGGGTAAGTAATTGTGAAAGGTTCTCCATTTTTTTTTCCTTTCACAGTTGTCGTGCTTCTAATTTGCGCTTGTTGTGTGAGCAGTTGGCTTTTGAA